TTTGCTTTAGACTACCGTCATTCTTTATCGGTCTCAGGTGCTTAATTTAGCCTTCAACTGTACGAGCCACCGTGCCTTCGAAACTTCTCCAGAATCACATCATTTGCTTATAGGTGCGTTTGCAGAAAAAGGCGATTCTGTACACATTCCTCCTACCACAAACGAACGAATAAAACCCACAGCCCTACTTGCCGTTTGCAAAGAGTGTGTGATAATTAAGAGAAGGGCTTTATACCTCCAGAGCATTGGTCGCATGGCACCAAGCAAGCTGTTGAGACCAAATTTTGTGATATGTATGTGTGTATAAGAGGTGTATAAGAGGGACACAGGTGGCGCTGTGGGTTAAACCACAGAGCCTAGGACTTGCCGATCAGAAGGTCGGCAGTTCAAATCCCCGCGGCGGGGTGAGCTCCCATTGCTCGGTCCCTGCTCCTGCCAACCTAGCAGTTCGAAAGCACCTCAAAGTGCAAGTAGATAAATAGGTACCGCTTCAGCGGGAAAGTAAACAGCATTTCCGTGCGCTGCTCCGGTTCGCCAGAAGCGGCTTAGTCATGCTGGCCACATGACCCGGAAGCTGTATGCCAGCTCCCTCGGCCAATAAAGCGAGATGAGCGCCGCAACCCCAGAGTCGGCCACGACTGGACCTAATGGTCAGGGGTCCCTTTACCTTTATAAGAGGTATATCTACAGAAAGATTTACAGGAGGGCAAATGGAGCACTTGCTCAGGGCAGCAAATCTGAGGAGGCGGTGTGACGATGCCCCAGTTTTCCCTTACTGTAAATATGTCTCCTACTGGAAGTTCCCTTCCCACACAACAGGAAGGTGCAGAAGCCTTGTGATGCTCAGCACCATGCCGTGAGTTTGCCCCAGTCACTCTCTTTCTCCCTGCTCAACCTTGTCTCTGCATCATAGTCACCTGGACTCCCTTGAAGGAATCCTCAACGCCCGTCTGACCTCCAGAGCAGGACAAACTCTGGACCAGAGAGAGGAAAGGAGAGGGGGAACATTTTGCGCCCTGGCTGGGAGTGTGATCTCTTGGTCTCCTTTGGGCAAATTGCCTTGGAAGAGTGTGCTGGAGAAAACAGTGCTGGCCTCTTGTAGGCACCCTTTCGCCCTCGGCACTTGGGTGATATCCATTCCAGCCAAATGCCAGGTTTCCATTTACAGTTAAGGAACAGCAACCATCCCTAAAGCTACACTAACCACACGCAAATATTAATTCTAGCAATACTGTGAGGTCCAGAATTGTTCTTTGGAGACAGCGCCACTCAGTCACTTGCACCAGACCTTAAAATGGTTCCAAAACTGCCTTAGTATCCTGCAGCCATCATGAGTTGAGATCCCAGACTCTACAAAGCCAGCTAGCTGTTGCTCCATCAGTAACTGACCTGGCCTGAAGCAACAGTGTTAGCACAGTCCTACCATGTTGAGTTTACTCAGGCAGCTAGTGTGAATACAAATCAACCTCAAAGTCAACATGTCTGTACATTCCTTTAGATCGGTAAGCATTTGTGCAAAATGACTAACTCAATATCAATCAGTTTTGTAAAATCTGTTAAGCCTTTTCTCATATCGGATCAGACTGAGAACCTGGAGGGCAGCCAACAGTCAGGTGATAATGCAGTGAAAAGGAAGCATTTCCGTGGCAATGGGCAGGTACGCAGCCACTCCTTCCCCTCCCTTTTTCTGTAACCTTGTCACATAATCCAAATTTTAGTAACAAAGCTCATTCTCTGCCATGTTAACTCTCTGCAGCATCTGTCACTGCTATGAATGGTTGATCATAAGTACCTCGGTAGTCATCTCAGTGCTATTAAGCAGATGGCAGTGCTAAATCCAAATGATGTAGTACATCTCCCCGGTGGACTTTGTTTCCATACTCTACCATTATTCCACAATTCCTCTGTGATAAATCTTATGTATTCTGGAGAACATTAAATAGTGAGCAGACATAGGCAATTGATTTATTAGCAACAGTCTGCATTTGCCCCGTTACCAGTCTTTGGAAACACTTGTGTGGGAAACGTGGGAAGCCCTCAAGGCGCATAGACCGCTGGCCTCATTTTGTGTAATGTAATGTTTCTAAACAGATTCCACATTTCAGCACAATTTGTCTTTGCAAAGTGCTAAATTGCAGTTTGCAGGGGTTTTTTTTATATATAATATATATATATAAAACAAACCAAAGAGACCCAGACTTTGCATTTGGTTCTAAGGAGGGATTTGGTGATTAAATTGCTCTAGTATGGTTATTAGACCAATTGAAGAACAGAATTCTTGTGACTCTAAATCTGAGTAACATTACTGGGATCAAGGAGTATCACGGTGTCCCTATAAATATACTGAGCACAGGGAAGTGATCAAAGCCAGCTTAAAGGCATTTGGGGTGCATGCATCAACACAGGGAGGAAGCTAGCGTTTAAACTTCTCCAGTTCAATGGCCAGCTAAATTTTGCAGGAAACCAAGTCACCCATCTATATACAACAGTTTAAGATGAGTCTTGCTCAACCCATCACACAAAACGTAGCTGCCAATCTCTCATATAGCCATCTGGCTGTTTTGCTTTTCTTAACCTGGTATTGAAAACATAGCTTTCGACAGTCTGGAAATCAAACAGCTTGTCCCAAATCACCAGAGAGCAATGTAAACAAGTGCCTGGTAGTGTACAGCCTTCGAAATCTACACCAATATTGTTGTTCTCTCCTCTTTCATTGTGGCACACTGGACTGGCTTAGCACCGGCTTGTCTCATTAAACATGTGTAAATTGCTGCGGCTAATTTCCACTGAACGTTATCCCTCAACATTAAAGAGTTACGTCATCTTTCTCACTTTAGTCAATGGAGCTGAGTGACTACAGCCAGCACAAATCACAGCAGGCCCAATTTGCATTCTAATCAGCTGCCAAAAGTAATTCCTTTAGAAGTCCACTACATTGCCATGAGTTATGCTGCTGGGAATCTACTTCCTTAGGGCCAGTGAAAAGGCTAGGCTGCAGGAACCCAGAATGATACTTACTTTGCAAGCCATCCCAATCCAACCAATGTGGGATCTCCATAGCTAAGAATACATGAATGGATATTTAACAAAAGAGTCTTCCAGCTGAGTTGGACAAGAAAGCTTGCAATAAACTTCTCTGTGAAAATCCAGAGACTACCCCAAATTTAACAGCTATCCGCTAGCACAAAAGCCATGCAAGGTTGAAGATTTGTGTATAATAAGGTATCACATCTATTTACTTAGTTCACTTTCAAATAGTATAAATTTTTGCTTTTGCTGAAAATAAACCGCATGTTTAGGGACGCGGGTGGCGCTGTGGGTAAAAGCCTCAGCGCCTAGGGCTTGCCGATCGGAAGGTCGGCGGTTCGAATCCCCGCGGCGGGGTGCGCTCCCGTTGCTCAGTCCCTGCTCCTGCCAACCTAGCAGTTCGAAAGCACGCCAAGGTGCAAGTAGATAAATAGGGACCGCTTACTGGCGGGAAGGTAAACGGCGTTTCCGTGTGCTGCGCCAGATGCAGCTTTGTCACGCTGGCCACGTGACCCGGAAGTGTCTCCGGACAGCGCTGGCCCTCGGCCTCTTAAGTGAGATGGGCGCACAACCCTAGAGTCTGTCAAGACTGTCCCATACGGGCAGGGGTACCTTTACCTTTACCTTTTAAACCGCATGTAGGCTGGTTTAGTTATGTAACAGGATGTCTACTACTATCACACTCCTGTCCAAAGGTGTGGTCACTACTGGTTGCGGGGATGGAGGCTTCCATCTGACATCCAGTCACCTGTACCACTGCTGCATGCCGCAGCAGAGAGAGAGAGGTGAGGCAGGGGCAAGCCTGACATGGGGCAAATGCACTTGTGAGAGCTCTGAATTGGCTCAAATGGTGCATTTTCATCTTGCTGACTTCCCTGCTGCCTTGCCCCTCTTGTGTGCATCAGTGCTGTGGGCGAAAAGAGGTCAAGTGAGTGCCACGCACCCTCAGCCCCCGCGTGGCCATCTGCTCCTCAATATGGTCTGCTCATATCAACCAGTGGGAGAGGTATGTTGGAAGTGGAATATTTGCTGCTGCTTCACGTTACACCTAACCCTGTCAAAAATAAATGGCAATCAAGACCATGCAGAGGAGGGCAGAATGTGACCTAGAGAGGAAGCACTTCGTCTTATGAAGGTATCACAGCATCTCTTGTGTGGAAAAGGACCTAGATTCAGTTCTTCACATCTCCTGCCAAAAGGGCCAGGTAGCAGGTGACAGGGATCACCTGGACGGATCAGCCGATTTCCACTTCATTTCAGTTTTGCATGTGTTGGCATGGAAAGGGGGAACCCACAAATATTCACATTGTGTGCATCTTTCTAAAAAATAAGGTTTTTTAAAATGCTTTCATATGCATCCCCCCAATTTAAATGTAAATGTTTTTTGAGCTTGAACTGCACCATAAAATAATAATAATAATAATAATAATAATAATAATAATAATAATAATAATAATAATTTATTATTTATACCCCGCCCATCTGGCTGGGTTTCCCCAGCCACTCTGGGCGGCTTCCAAAAGAATATTAAAATACTGTGATACATCAAACATTAAAAGCTTCCCTAAAAGCTTTTATTTATGAGAAAATTATGAAAATTATGAGAACTGTGTAGTCCAGGTAACAACTGCATTCCAAACAGTGTTTAAGTGCGGGGACTGCAAATTGGATCTGTTTGCTTTAAAATGTGGACCGAATAAAATTCTCCTCCATCCGTAGCTGGCGAAGGGGAAGACCTGAAACCCTGAACAGCCACTGCCAGTGGCAGCAGACAATATTAGGCTCTGATATAGTACTGAATGGACAGTCTTGAGTGGCTTAAACAGCTGTTCCACTCCTACACCAGGGATGAATCTTCTGCCTGTTATCAAAGATGGGTATTTCAAGACTGATCACAAATCAAAACCACTTACTCCCAGAAATATATGGTGACTCACGCAACCATTCTAAATGAATTAAGCCATCTTCCTTACCTTTGTGCTGAAGTACTATAGCTGTTATCATAGGAATCGTAGCTCTGTTCATCGTATGAAGTGCCATATCCATCATCATAGTCCTGGGGAAACAATTTCAATACAAAGCCGGCTTTACAATTCAAGGAACTACTACAGAACTCAAAACACCACCTATTTTTTCCCAGTCAAAATGACATCTCCAGGAATATGAATTTACTGAAGGTGTTCTGGACCTTAGTTAAATAGGCCCTGAGTTCTTCCTTCATGCAACACGGTAAAGAGATAAGTTGTTGTTGACATGAATTTCCATTCCAAGAAAAAGACAACATGAACTTGTCCATGGAAGGCTCTTGAACAGATAGTGGACTGCAAACTTTCTCACCATGGGCAATGGTCCTGTTTAATCTGGTGAGTAATCTGAAGACACATACTTACTGCTCTCCCTGAAAACACCTTTTAACGGAGACATTGAAGTCACTGTAGCTGATCTCAGTCAAGAGTAGTGAAGTGTTCTGCTTAATCCTTTAGAGGAAAGGGCCAAACTGAGGTGGTTACACTAAACTTTGGGGTTGGGGATTATCAGAGGATTTACTGCAAGAACAGTAAGTAACCATCTCTATAAGAGGGTGATTTATCTTAATGGTATTCTTGAACACAGCACCAAAACAGAATGTAAGAAACTCATCTCTCACGTTATCTTGCAACTCACAGACTCCCTTTAAATAGCAATCAAGTAGAGCTCAAGGATGCTTTCAAGTTTGCCCTTAATTAGATTTGACATCTTCCTGTTAATGTTTTCTGTGTTTGAGGTTTCAAGTGCAGCACGTTTATTCCTATTTGGCCAGTTCTGCATATAAATTGATATACTTTGATTTTTTTTAAAAAAATGTATCCCAGAGATATGAATCTGATGAGAAATTAGACTCACCATTGGGTTTCTGAAATGCAAAACCACCTGCAGTCCTAGAGAATTATGTCTGGTTAGGTGTATGTGTTGGAAGAATGGAGAACTGTATAATTCTGTTGCTGTGATGCCTTAAGAGAAAATGAAGTGAAAATGTTTGGCTGTGTTAATACAGGTCACCTAATAGCAACGAAGCTGGAATTCTTTGTTTATGGAGTGCCACACTGGTTCCCTCCTATCCTGCTGCTGCTCTCAATAGGAAATCTCTTTCTGTTTTTAGCTGAGTTAGCGGAGTTATGGGGGAAACAGGTTTTCAGGTTCCTTAGAAAGCCTCCTGTGGGACAGCCACTTCACACCTTCCATTTTTAAACATACACTTAATGTAAAGTGTGATGGTGATAAGCAGGTGCTCATAAATGCATTGCGCCACTGTATACAGGAAACCCAGGCTTAATGCTGCACGATGTGTGACAACAGCCCTGGAAATTGCACATGATGACTGCCTGGGTTTGCAGAAGTGAAGGGAAGCATACTTGGGCTTCTGCCACTGGGCATAGGGACCTAAGGCCACTTGAAGGGCTACTTCCCCAGTGTTGCAAGAAGAATACCATGACCAGAGGAAGGCCGGTGTGATCCCATCTGTTGGTCAGAGGAGCAGGGAACTGGCTTTCCTCTTCCCTGCTAGGTGGAACACTATTCCTATGCTTGCTTTCTACTTCCTCACCCTGTTGCTTTTGCATCATGTCTATTTGACTGTGTACGTTTGGCCTCTGTGCAGCACTCAGAAAATGTTTGCCACTTTGTATGTGATAAATATAAATAACAACTCCCCCCCCCAATGTTTCTCAGCTGATGGAGAGCTATAAACAGAAGAAACCAGTCCTCCAATCAGAATATGAGGTGGTCGGCTCCTTTCTCTTATTAACTACACCTAGAACGACCCATGTTCCTGTTGCATAAATGCAAAGGTTTCTATGAGTCACCTGACCAGGTTCCCACCAACTACCGGAGAGCTGAACTGGCCTGAGCAGATATATTTGAGGACCGGAACACCATTGCTGCATTTTTGCTACTGTCTCCTTTTTTATATATAGCTTTGCTACGTTGGGTCCTCATTAGCTACTGTAAAATCATCATGTTTATTATAATAATTAATCATGCTCTCTTATGAGTCAATTTACTTCTGTAAACTGCAGGTGGCTGTGCCATTTTCTAAGGGGAGCCATTCCTGGAACTGCCCACCATTTTAATTTGCCCCAAATGCAATGCCCATGCTTGTTTCCCATTCAAAAATGATGCCATGCACTTGGGGGGGGGGCAAAGCAAACCAAAAAACCAAATAGTAACTATAATAAACAGCTGTGCTGGGCCCCAGCAAGGAGGGTGGTAACAGGATCTGTGTGTGTCATTGTTTTGCAAAGGCTCTCTTGTGTCAGGTTATTTCCTTTATGCGTCTAAGAAAGTCTTAATTTGGCTAATAACACAGTGAGGTATATGCTCAGTCTTAATGTTCAGTCCTAACAGGTTTGTTTTCCAACAGATGTTGCTAACAGTGAGGCAGAGTGTGCCATGGGAGCACTTTGTAAAAAATGGATCTAATGAGAAACAGTTGGTTTGAGCATCGTTAATAAACATCCAAATATATTCATCGATCACCTTGACACAGTATGTTAAGGCAGGTTAGATTTATGGTATGGGGATATATCTTGAAAACGACTTCCCTGGGGAGAACAGCCATGGGCTTCCCTGAAGCATCATGCTTCCCCGGAGTCTTCTAGCAGAGTAGGTACGATATAATCACTACGATATAATCCCATGGAAAAGTTGCCCCTAACAAACAAACTTCTTAGGGAAGTGGAACTACTAAGAGGACCCCTTCCGCTGATTGCAACATCCATGGGGGTCTGGAGGGAAAGAGGTTGTCTTTCGGATATTTGGGGCCCAAGCCATGTAGGGCTTTAAACCTCAATGTGAGCACCTTGCATTGGGTCAGGAAATGACCCGGAGACCAGTTAGATGGACCAACGGTCTGTTTTAGTATAGGACAGCTTCCTGCAGTTTAAGGTGGGTTCTACTTACGTATTCTCCATAGGTGTCTTGTGCTGGAGGAGGAGGAAGGGGTCGGTAGCCTGCAGATGGTGGAACCCCTCTTGCTCTGGGAGTTAGAAGACCCCGGCCACGAGTGATGGGACCTCTACCAGGGGGTATTCCTCTGGGTGCGGGTGCCCCTCTTGGGATGCCTGCAGGTGGGGGTGGCACACCTCCGCGGGTTCTAAGAACAAGAGAGTAACTTATATTAAAATGGCACGTTCCAATTCTTCCCTATCATAAAACACAAAAACATTACGTGACTATCATAACCAGTCAAAGCCCCCTAAACTGGGAGCCAGCTTAAAGAACTTTTCTGGCGTTGAAATTTGAAGCAGGAAACAAGAGTAAATTCAAGACTTATTTGAAAGGAGAAGTAAATGAACGGTGCTAAGTGGGCAAGCTTGTGCCCATGTTGCAACCAAGTGAAGGTGCCACTAGGGATATGGTAAGTAGGTCTGCTTTTAGGTAGACGATGCCTCTGTTTGAGAACTGCTCATCATCATGAAGTTCTCCTTACGCTGTTTCCAGAGACTTGGGTACATCCTATAGCTAGGATGGGCACATTCTGGAGCTTCCTCCCGCTGTGAAATCCTACTAGCCAGTAATGAAGTAAAGTAAGCCCTCAAGTTATATGGAGGTTACGTTCAGGGGACTGCGTCTAAAACCAAAATTGGGTAGTCAAGACTCATTGGGTTCAATGGTTGGTGGGACTGCCAAAGTCATCTTCCCCAGAACCCTGCCTCCTTTTTAATTTTTTGCCATGTGTGGAAATCTGGATGCAAGTTGAATGCACACCAGCTGAATGCACGTAAGTTATGGGCTTACTGTAGCAGCAGAGTTCCCCCTTTCCATGCCATGCATGGAACAGAAGTCACAAAGTCATGGTTTTTGGTTTTTGCAATGTGCACACACGCCCACAAAGACACACTTAGGTGTGATGTGCATGCCCACAGGGCAATTATGTATTATTTTCTGCACAAAGGTTCTTCCCCCTTAGGAATTCAAAATGCAAACGTATATTCAGATACAGAACACACATTCCTCCAGCAGGGAAGCCACACAAGTGGTGACCTGTGAAACTGCTCAACAAGCAAGACACGGATAGATTTAATGGCAGGGAGCCAACCTTCATGTTCTTTCCTCGTCTTCAGAGTGCTTATTCTCCCTCCTCCCATTACAGAGTATATTCAATCACTTCCAAGTATCTGTTATGTGTTCTAATTCAAACCAGCATAATATTAAGTGTGTTTTGTGGGAGGGGGAGTTATTGGTTGGTTTGGGGGGGTATTTTATGATGTATTTTGTGTTTTTATGTTGTGAACCTCTCGGCAATCTTCGGATGAAGGTCGGTATACAAATTTAATAAATAATCAACAGCCATTATGTAAGTCAGCAAGAGGTACTCATCTGTACGACCATTTCTCCCGTTTTGACTGCTAACCTCATTTGTAAAACAGACGCAAGTGTCCAGCAGATAAATCGGCCACTTTATAATGAGATGCTGCTTGGAATTAGTATGCAAATACGCTAGTGATGGGCTCGTGAAATGTCCCCCTAATCTCAATAAGCAATCATCATCAAAACCCTTTTGGGGAGTTGAAAGGCTCCAGCTTCATCAGCCCTCAAGCATGCAACGTACATCAATATGAATACAAGATGTTTCGCAGATTTCAAATAATGTTTTATGTGTGTGCTACTTGCAACCATATGGTTCCCTCTCTTGAGCGCAATGGCACAGATGACCAAGAGTTAATTTTAATTCTAGTTTGAGATTTAAGCATTTTCACCTTATCAAGCATGTTTCTGTAGGCGAATGTTGGAGCAGTTGATCAGCAGCAGTTGCGGTTCCCTTCTTTTAACTTTGACAGGTTCAAACCCCCTGAACATCATTATGACATCAGGTGAACTGCAGGTAGATGGATTGGCCTACAGAGGGGCTGAGGGAGACCCAGTTCCCTATGCTTGCATCAATCTATACAATAACATTGGCCAGAGGACTACTTTAGTAAAAGGTAAAGGGACCCCTGACCATTAGGTCCAGTCGTGGAAGACTCTGGGGTTGCGGTGCTTATCTCGCTTTATTGGCCGAGGGAGCCAGCGTACAGCTTCCAGGTCATGTGGCCAGCGTGACTAAGCTGCTTCTGGCGAACCAGAGCAGTGACGGAAACGCTGTTTACCTTCCCGCCGGAGTGGTACCTATTTATCTACTTGCACTTTGACGTGCTTTCGAACTGCTAGGTTGGCAGGAGCAGGGACCGAGCAATGGGAGCTCACCCCGTCGCGGGGATTCGAACCGCTGACCTTCTGATCGGCAAGTCCTAGGCTCTGTGGTTTAACCCACAGCGCCACCCTGAGGACTACTGTATCACAAAGGCTGCTTGTCCATGGGCAACAATCAGGTGTTAAAAATAGCACGCATGAGGATTTGAGCCTTGTGTGTGAAAATGCCCTGGTTTGCTGGTCTATAGCACACTCTATTCCTTTGCTCAGCTTCTTAGATGGCTCTAACTATAATAGGTGAAGACAACTTGGGGAACCAATCCAATTTGTTTCAACCACTTCAGCTGATTGGATCAATTGCTGATGCCTCTTTCATTCCCCCTCCTATTTTCTCCCTCCTTAACCTTTAACCAGAAAGGAAATCTGGCCTTTTGCTTTTGGTTGTAAATAAATGCAGCACAGGAAAAAACAACAACCCCAAACTGAACTGAACCTAAACAATTTGTCCTAATTAATATGCACATCAGCATTATCTGTTCTATTTTTATATTGTTTCCTTTGATGTTCAAATCCAACTTCCAGTTACCTGTAATCTTATATTTTGTTCAAGGTTTCTAATGCATGCTTATGCAAGTTATGATACAGCTGTTCAAGATCTCCTTTGTTTTAGATGCATTCCAGAAAGATTCACAGGGCCAGTATGGAACCTTGTCATCATTGTATTATATTCTGCAAATTCGCCTCTCTCTTCCCAAACAAACCAAAACAAGTTCCTAGATCTCACAGTGACAAAAAGAAAGATGAAGTGTACCTGGCGAAGGCTCGGGTGCCTGAAGTGACATGGTCAGGATTTTGTGATACATGTAGAGCATCTGTGGCATAATCCCCTCCTCCACATTGTGAGTTTTCTCAGACGCACAATTTTGAGGGTGGGGAAATATCTATATAGATTTAGCATGAGCTATACGTCTGGTGTTCCACTGACTTGAACATTCAAGCGTTCCTTTAAGCAACAGTACTGGCTTGTTCCACTGACTTGAACATTCAAGCGTTCCTTTAAGCAACAGTACTGGCCTCCAACTGCACATACTAAAATCCTGTGACGTTAACATCTGTGATATTATCCTTTCATTCCTGTGAATGCATCAGGATTACAAAAAACAACAACAGCATCCTACCATTCATGTTATGTTCTACTTATTACTACTGATCGCTGCTTGCATAACTATCAAAACAGAGACAAACAAGGTGGTACTCACGTGCGTGCGTGTGTTTGTTTGTATGTATGTGTGTATTGTGTGGACACAAAGGAAAAATCAGACAACCTCCCCAACATCTTTGAAATGGTGAAATGAGAGGGGCCCAGTTGCTGCCCTGAGGATCTTCTGGAAGGGCAGAGAGCTCCACTTCCTTGCCAACAGCTTCAGGACTGAAGTGGAGAGGCAAAAGCTCACTCATTCTTTTCGTAGTTTTAGATGTGGCCACGGGGCTTTGTGCCCAGCAAAATGGAGGCAAGTGGCAGGTTACTTGTTTATGTTCACCTACCCAAACGCCTAGAACTGACTGGCTGAGAGCAGTTGGCCATATACATGGGGCCCTGCTCCACTTTGAGGAAGAAAGTGGGCTGTTGTCCTCTACCACCATTATTTTCCTGCAAGGGTAAAGGGTCTTCTTCATTGTTATAGACCCTGACCTAACTTTACTCTCCTGCTGCTCTCCCTCGTTTAGGTTCAAGGGACATCCAACCACAGACAAACCACTTGACCAACATATTTTGACATCAATGTACCGTTAAAAAGGCGTTTGCAATGCTTCTGAGTGACCGTTATCATGCAGTGACGCAGCTAGAGTGTTCAACTTGCACTAGAGGCCTAATCATGCCTCCAGGTTTTTTGGAGTGCAAGTAATACAAGTCCCAGCCAACACAGCTGGCTGGAGCTGATGTGGTCCAAGGTACCAGATCAGGGTCACCAGGCCGGCAAAGGCTGCAAGTACGCATGCAGGGTGCTTCTGGCCTCACAAACTTTAAGTGAATGTTGGCACCTTGCAAAAGTGGCTTGGGTCAATGAGAAAGCTCTCAACACTCTCTTGAGTTTGTGACTCATTTGACGTCCCCCAAGGCTCTTGTATTGTTTTTCCTAGGTGCTCTTGGAACTTTTGTCTGCGTCCAAGTTTGCTGTCAGGGTTGCCAGGCAAGCTGTGCCCCATCTGTTCGGGGCGGTCCTTTGTTCTGAAGACTGTGTTTTCAAGAACCAAGCTGAACAACAGGATGAGGTCACAGAGCCTGAAGGAGCAGCAGCAGCAACAACAAAGGTGTCTGTGAACCCCTGAAGACATGCAAATCTGTCTGCTTCACATTCAAGAGCTGCTATCAGTCACTATAAACAATATTGAACTAGATGGAAGAACGGACTGACCCTCAGATAAAAAGGGATTATAAGAAACTCCAAAATGGTCTCCAAACTGGGTGAACGAAATGGTAACGTGATTCAGTGCAAGCAAGCATAAAGTGATGTGCATTGGGATTAAAAATAAATAAATGCCCAGGTTCCTTTCTGTGATGGTTCCTGGTTTCTGGAGCTCTAAAATGGATTGATGGGACTAGGATTTGTGGGCCGCTGCCTTATAAGAATGCAAGGGAGCATGGTGATTTTATGAAGCAGCTGTCAAGTGGCCCAATACCACACTCTCTATCAATCAAATCCTCAAACTATGCCCTAAGGGCATTAGTGGGGAATAATAAAAGCGGAGGATATTTGAATGGTTCCAAAATGAGAAGCTCACATTGCCTCACGGAAGTCCAAGTAGCAAGTACATCTATTCATCATACCCAACGAAGGGTTCTGCCAAACTCAAAACACTTGCAAGTGCTGGAAAAATCCCCGTCACCCAAGATGTTGGACAAGGGTTCCTCAAATATTCCTCATTCCTCTGGGAATTTATGGTGTTTCTCACACACAC